GACGCACAGAGAAAACCGAATGAAATATATTTTCCAATCAAATTGAAATGCAAACATGTGCAACGATTGTGTGGAATTCGGGGGAGTTGAGAGATAGATGGCTGGCGTGCGGATGCAGCCAGAAATTGGAATTGAAAAAGTCATGATAACAGAAAATTGCACGCTCTGTGACTTTGAATGACAGATGAGTTTTCCTGCGGCTGCAGCAGCAACAGCAAAAACAGGAACAGTCCCAGAAACTAAAACAACAAAGCGTTAACAATGAAAATGTCGCGCACGCGTTGGCCAAAAAAACAAAGAGCAAAATTTGGAGCGAGGAAAAACAAATGACAGCTGCAAAAATGGCAGGCGGAAAATAGCAAAAGCAACAATGACGCCTACAAAAACACCTACATCAAAGCAAATAGTGTGTGTGCGGGCGTACAATGCCTGGAAACTTAATTCAAAATCAACAACGGACAAGAAAATATTAAATTGGTTACAAGGGATATTGAACTCTTAAATACCCTCAATTAAAGACAATGTATGTACTTATATTTCCTGAGAAGAAAATATTCGGGGAAAATAAAGGGGTTTGTAAAGCATTGATTTTATTTAACCAAAAAAGACGCGGAGATCAAATCGATATGCGCGTGATAAATTTCTGGTATTTATACGCATATTTTTATTACCATGCATTTATTTCAATTGACGTAAATAAATACCCTTCATTGAATAATATTAAGAAAACTTAAAATTTTTGGAAAGACTTCTGATACAGGGCATCTCAAAATGGCGGAAACGGAAGTTGAGTTCGCCGAAATACGTTGACAATAAATGGAAACTGAGGACCTACCGTTTCGCATACAAAGCCCCAACCAAACCGAAACAAACTGAACCAAGTTGAACTGAAGGAACTCCTCCACGTAGTGTCGACCTTTGGGTTGCCTTTTTTTATTTCTTCGTTGGCCTAGCTGGCTGAATGACTGACTGACTAACTGACTGAATGACTGAGGGGCTGACTGGCTGGCCGGGTTGGCTGCTTCCGCTTTTTACGTTCATTGCCTCTGCCACAATTTTAATTTTCCTAATGGATATCGATCCCGGAGTCGTCGTCGCAGCAGCGGCAGCAACAACAAAACTGGCTGGCAAAAAGGATAATAGACTTCTTTATTGTGCATGCGACTCTATAAAAGTCAACTCCTGGACTTTGTTGTGTGCTCCGCTCCTGTTTCTCTCCTGTTTTCTCTCCTGTTGTGTTCTGTTGCTCATGCGAAAATCGAGGGGGTGGTGGCGAGGGAAGGTGGGGGGCGGCGGACACACAAACCAGGCCAGACACGAACACATTCAAACTCACCGAAGCACTGAAATAAAATAATTATTAAAAGAATGCTAACAATATACATATTTTTATTTGAACATCTATTACTTCCAAAATAAATAAAGCATTTAAAATTATTTAAAATTTGTAAATATGTTTTTAAATATTTAATAACTTTTTAAATCATAAAATGTATTTTAAAAAGATCGTATAACATTAAGGGCCGTTTTCTCGTCCGCCTGGTAAATTTTAAGTATAGTTAAAACTCTGATTTCTCATACGATTTCAAGGTTTTAACCCTACTTTAAATTTAACAAGCGGAAGAGAAAACGGCCCTAAATATTGCGTATTTTTGGAGAAATATTTAATTTAATAAACAAATTTTTGGATCAAAATCGAATGTATTTTTCTTGGTGCACACAAGCACACAGATAAGGCTGCATAAATACTTAAACAACAACCTCACACAATAAATAATCTGCTACGTCATGCAAAAGGGAAACTCCAATGGAGCTCTTTGAATTGCAGAGAAATGAAGGGGTTCCAAAGAGTTGGCAGACATTGGAAATTAGATTTCAGCCAGGCTTAGATAGTACCCCTACTGCCCCAACCCCTCCCACTTCCATGTAATCCGACCGCAACTACACATGCCAACGTTTATTCGGAATTCCATTTTACATCTGCCCCGGATCCGCCAAAGTGCGAAAATTAAATGAGCCACAAGTTAGAGCGAGAGGGCAAGGGATTTCCACACCTCTGTTTGTGTAGGTGTTTTCCCTAGTTTCCTCTGCCTCTATTTGCATACATTTGCCCAGTTCTTTTTGCCAAATATTTTTCGGGTTTGGATATTGCCTAAACCTCCATTTGGCTCCCATTTGTGTTTACTTTTATATTGGCATTTCTGTCTGAAAATAAACAAAATAGATTAGAATGGTTCGACAGATGATACTGGAAAATATTGGATACACGAAAGTGAAACTCAAGAAGGGACATTTAGGTTCGTTTTCTCGAACAAGTTAAACTATAAGTTTAGTTAAAAACCTTAAAAAACGTTTAGAAATTCAGAGTTTAAAGCCTAACTAAAATAACCCATAGTCCAGACAAATAAGATAGTCAATCATTTATGTAAACTTGGAACACCATAACCAAGAACCATGTCCAAGAACTTAGATGGTATTTATTTATCTATATTGTGTATGAAGTTTGTTACTCACCTCGAAATTAATCGAGATATTTATTTGCCTTTTATAATCTAATCAAAGATACGTAAATACGTGGTAATACAAAATTATAAATATGTCAATTATGTAAATTTCTGTTAGTAATATGTAAAAATAGATTTAGATATTTTAGATTCTTTCTGATCCATCAATTACAGACATCTCTTTTCTAATAAAATAAATGCTTGGGAGCTTTTTATACCTGAAGCTGCATTCCACTAATGTAAAAATGTATTTTTAATTACCCAACGAGTTTATCCAATCTTTATAATTAGCCGCCAACAATTAGAGGCAAGTAAAGCCCGGAACTTGTGCAATTAAACCAGGGACAGCGAACGGCAGTTGTCCATCAGTTAAGTTCATCCCTGGGCTAAGCAGAAAAATGCATTAAACAATGGCTAAAATGGCCGTCTCTTAATTTCAATTAAACGAAACGAAAAAAAAAACAAAACTATTTCAACCAACAAGTAGAACGGTATTCCACCATATCGATGCGCAGTGGCTTGAGTGACATGTCCTAATTCGTAAGCGTTGACTTTTACCGGCATTTCAATTAACCCAATTAATGGACGGGACCTAATTAAATTTTGAATTCATGCTGCCAGTGAACGCACACCCACACAGCCATCCAGTTGGCCAGCACACAGATACGGATACACACGGATATCAGTCAGCTGTTTCTGCTGGCCAGCTGTCTTTCGAGTGCGAAGGAGATGGCGCGAAAGCCTCGCAATTGGGGGGTGGTTGGGGGTGGTAGCAGTGGGTTAAGCCAGGGGGGAATGGGGTGGTGGTATGGCGCTGTAACAAGTATGTACTAATGTCGGCGTCTGGCTAACTGAGACACGGCTATGAATGAGTGTCCCGAACGGAGCAAGCGGGCAAACTGAAACTGAAGCTCGATGACCTTGATTATACAACACAGCAGCAGAAGCAAAGGCAGCAACAGCGGCCCTCCTCAGCCATCCACCCCATAATAGACCCCATTCCCAGCAGGGCCACTCCTTCAAAATACCCTACGTCAAATAAAAATGGCAAAAATAGTGAGCGGCTACAGGCACTCGAAAAAATAATAAAGAAAACATTACCAACAATCCTACACTTTTCCAAAAATAATTCTAATATGATATTATTTTTCCAAATTTTTCTTCCAAACTCATAATTTTGAATAGTTATTAATTAAAAAGAAAGATTCGATTCCTCACTTTAATATTTGAAGTGACACACAGATCAGTTTGATTTGTGCTGGTCAATTTTATCTTTTTGAAAGATCATTTTGATATAAATAAGGATTATGCCAATCTTATTTAACATTTTTTATTCAAAATATACTAGAATTGGCATTTTATATGATATGATAAAATATCATGTCGATATGTTTGAATCATAAATTTGACATAAATTATGATATGAGGTAGAATTGACCCTATTTCATTTCGAATTTTTTTCCTGTGCAAGAAACCATTTAAATACCTATTTTTTCGAGTGCACCCCAAGAGTCGTAGATGGTAACTTGTAACTGACATTACAACAAATCATCGGCCAGCAAATGTTGGCAACTGGGTGCCAAGTCAACGAACTGCTAACCGCAACACAGACACAAACCCCCGCCCACCCAAACACATACACACACCCAATGCCGTATGGGGGGCGTCATTAAAATTGCAACAGGGCCTTGAAGGAGCAACAGAGCCGGAGATTGAAGCGCTCCTCGAAAAACCAGAAGACAAAATCAAAAGATCAATAATTATTATGATGTTGCAGCACACCCGAAAACGAGACGCCTTCAGACCGCAAGAACCAAGTCAAGACGGGCAGGTGAGACAGGTGGGGGGAGCTTTGTCGAGGGTTGTCGGGTGAAGAAGCAAGGGGTTATAGCCGAAAAGTTCGACAAGCGCATTACAACAATTCCGGTGGCAGCGAAAAGGGGGTGACAGAGAGGTGCGCTTGCTTACAAGTGCAACCATTTTGTAGTACAAACTTCGAAAACCAAAAGCGAAATTGGCAAAACAAAAGGCCAGCAAGGAGCGAGGATGTGTGGCGTGTCCACCTCCTGACTGCCTCCATTTGTGGATTGTGGATCTCACAGCTGGAGTCATGCGCACTCCACCCAACCGATTGGCCCGCTTCGCCGCCATTTAGAAAAGGCCCTCTGGATCGAAAGGAAAGAGACGCGGATAGTGTGGAACAGGGACGGAGTGCCCAAACCAATGCCCAGAGAGCGAGTGCGACAAAAACACCTGTTCCTGTTTCGAACTGAACTCCCCAGATATGTTCAGAGTCAGCAGTCAGTCGGCTATGATATCCGAAAAAACCAAAGGCTCGGAACCGGTTGCAGCTGCACACCATACCCTCCGCCACATACAGCTAGTCGTGCTGCTCTGGCCAACAGAAGTATCTGCAAGATACATTTCGGGGTGACTGGCGGCTGGCCGAGAGGCGAACGGTACGGTACGGAAAACGACGACCGGTTTAGTCGTTCAGCAGTCTCCGTGCAGTGAGCATGTTCGTACGCCAGACATCGTCGTTGGTCGGTTGTCGTCATCGCTATCGCTATCGCTACTATATAGCCGTCGTTTCGCGAACATCGATCGTCTCGTTGCCGTTGCCGTCGCCTTTTCGGATGCGAGACTCTTAAATCCCTCGGAATCCCTTGAAAACAAAACGCGTGTGCGCACACAGATCCTATATCCTCCCATACGCAATAATCCGTAAATTCGTCGAAAAACCCAGTGTTCTGTGCGACGGCCATAATTGAGTAATTCAAGCAAAACTTCATGGAATAAATAACACCGTACAAGTGCCTTACAAAAATATATCTCTGCTCAATGCCGGAAACTTCTTGAGTCTGGCACCCAAAAGCGCTCGCTCTCAAGATCCCTAACCCACAAAAATCTCGAGTGTGCTTCGCCGAGTGTCCTGTCAGCCAAATATATGGTAATGGCAGAGATTGGTGGCCATTTGGCTCACCAGCTACCGTTGCACAATCACAACCACAATCAAACTGGATTACAGCCATCGCTGGTGATGAACCATCACCTAGATTTGGATTGTCATGGACACGATGTGATAAGTAAGTACCGAATGTCCCTAACATTCTTTCCCATTTCGAACGGGGTTCTATCCTTGAAAGAGAAGATATTTAATACTTGAGATAATACGATCATTATCAGGGACAATCTTCAAGAATAATACAATGAGATGTCTTTCTATAGTTAGGAGATGGGTCTTTTGTATCTTTCAGATACAATTGTTCATTCTAAATACTTTTGTGTCTGTTCAATAGTTGCCAATAGTCACCCTTGTACCTTATATATTACAAGCTATTGTAATCTTTTAGTTAATTATGATTGCCTTTTTCCAACCGTAATGTTTCTGGTATTTTGATATGTTAATATCCATTAAATGTATGGAAGAGTAACTTTAAATGTTATATAGATTAAACTTTTTATTCCAAAGCCTCAACTATCCATTTCAAACCCAGTTAATATCATTGCATAGATCAAGCAATCATTTACCGCTAATAAAGCTATTTAAAGCAGTTAATGACTTATTTATGGCTATTGTCGTAGTCTCCAAATAAAAATTGGCAAATTAAATTGTCATTAAAAAAGAGTGAAGCGTAGTGTAGTCACTGAGCTGTAACTTTCTCGATTCGTAAATATAAAAATCAAACAAAAAAAGCCCGTTTTGGGTATTAAAATCACATAAAATAGGTAAAAGTCGTGTTAACAAATGCTTGCACCAAAATTATAGTTGTAAACTTGTTTCGGTCATTGTAAAAAACCCAGAGATACCAGATATCAGAGATCAAGGCTTGGACGCAAAGGTTCCGAGCCGAAAAATCTTGAACTCTTAGTCAAGTTTATTTGTAATGAAGGTTAAAGTTATTTTTATACGAAAACCATTAAAAAGGTTAGGCACGCGTTGAACTCTTTCTTGCCTTGAGATTTTATATATTTGCCAATGGATGTCATGTGTACAAGGCTGAGGAATAAACCTTATAAAGAGATACAAAAGAAATGGAATATAAACAATTAAAACCGAGAAAATAATAATTAAAACTAATAATCTATAAATAATTTTTAGTGTGCAATTCCGCTGTCAAATTGGGCGATATCTTCTGCGACGATATCTTAAAGTTCAGATCTTTTTGAGCAACAGTCGTTAGCCGACTTATCGCTGCAACTTTTGTAATGGGCTTAGACCCAATCTCGACCTGTCATTTTTTCTTATTGTTCGGCAGTAACTTTTAAATTATAGCCTTATTTTATTTTAAGCACACTTTACATATAATATAAAAGCCAATTAACGGTTGAATGACATTTTAATGTTGAGCAATTAAGCGCGCGGCCAAGCAATTGCACGAAAAAAGCGAGCTGAAAATGATCAAAAATGTATCCCATGCGATAATGTGACAAATTTTTAACTAGACAAAGTTGTTAACCAAAAATGCATTTTATAAATTCATAAACCAAGAGTGTCATTAAAAAATGCTTTCTGTGTGCGACAGAAGTAGGAATATATTTTATTCAAATTTTATTTCGTATGCTAAATTGTGACAAATGTTTTGGCTGACAGTTGTCTAACCAAACGAATGACCGCAAAACACAAAAAAGCCAAACAAAAAATGGGCAAAAAAGAGGAAAACGTGAAAAATCATAATCATAAGCACAAAACACAATGGTTGGGGAGAATTGAAATATAGATGAGGCGGGAATAATGCAATATAAGCATTTGTATCCAAATGTAAAACATTTAAATTGCATTGAAATTTTGTAATTGTAATTTAAATTCAAATTAGTTGTCGGCCGTGAAGCGCTGCTAAATATTTAATGCCTGAACATTTTAATTTGAAAACTTTGTGAAAAGTTTCTGTGTGCTTAGTTTTTGTGTGTGTGTGTGTGTTGGCTGACAAAACTTTAAGTTCGAGTTTTTGTAGTTTCAAGTTGATATTTGAAATGAAAACAATTTTTGTAATTTTTGTTTTTCCTTAGAGTATCTGCCAGCTCCTCTCTCTTTTGTTAGTTCACTCGGTTCCGAAGCGAGTTTTGTTTGTTTGTTGATTTTTTGAGCGCTGTAAACATTTTAATGAGTTTTCCATGTCACAGACCCAGGCCTCCAGTCAACATGTCGTTGCTAACTTCTCAAGTAGTCGTTAAATTAATTAAATATAGTAGAAACAAAAAGAAATCGCCATCTGAAGTTTTGTTTACTCTCTATGCTCTATAGAAAATTAAGTCTCAAATCGTTGCATACATCAGGGCGTTGAACTAGTTTCGGTTTTTCATGTTCGTGGTGGCCATAAAATTGTACAACTTTATGTTGAGGACCATAAAAAATTGACAATTATTTGCGGCCATAAAAACCGAACGATTTTTATTTTTATAGTTTACCAATTAGCCAAAAATTTGAATAAAAACTGTGGGGGGAAGCTCGGATTTTGCCTTGTACATGTTCCCTAATCTAATTTATATTAATTCCATTTAAATTGCTCGCCAGCCCAACTCATCGTATGCTAATTTGTATTTTCGCTGTATAAACACAGAAATGAAAACAAAAACCTTTCGAAAGTTAATTGTGAAAAATTGATTGGGCAAATGTTTAGCCAATGCACAAAAAAGTTGAAATAATTTTTGGAATAATTTGTAAAGTGTCAATCGTGGGCCATATAAGGTTAAGTTGTCTGCGAACGACCGAAGAGAATGGAACCGAGCTTTCAGATGAGGCTGGTTAGTTAGCCATAGATCACAGATCTCTTGTTTATTTATAGAGTTGCCGAAACGTCAGTGAAAGGAATTGAGGTTTCGTATACGTAACGAGATTCGGATTAGAGTGCCATAAAATTAATTATATGACCATTCTAAACGAGCTTTGATCGAATTTTTATGGAATTTGGTATTGTTTTTGTGAAGTATTTTAATAGTTTGATGTTAAGGCATCGGTAGTTTCACTGAACTAAGGCTCAAAATTGATTGAATATTTGTTTTGACTGACACTCTTAAGCTTTAAATTAATTTATATTGAAATTTTGAAGGGAAAATTGTTTCTGAGATGTACTTAAATGTACTATTACAGTTTAATGATACTTACTAGTTTTTCTCCGCTTTAAATTAATATAAAAACCCTTTTTCAAAAATAATACGGCAGTGGTGACGTCAGAGAAGGCCACACCCATTAGTTAGCCAATGGCAGACAGACGTTATCTATATTTTACGAGTTCCTATCCAAATTCCTGTTGTCCCTGGCTGACATTTTTTGTTTCATTTGCCTTCCCGTTTCCGGTGAGTTTTATTTCGGAATCCCTGCTGCTGCTTGGGGTGTGATAAAGTTATTTAGGCGCAATCCATAAATTCCCGAGCTGAACCCAAAGACCCAAAAAGGCAGAGCAGACAGAAACGTAAATCCCAAAGCTTATCTGATTTTGCACTCCAGTCCCCGGCACTAGATCAATATGTTATGTTATGGCCGGAGTTTTGGCCGTACCTGAGATTTCGGACCCAAGACAGCTGTGCGCCTGCGCCTTGTGTCACCTCCAGTCCCCCGCCCTTGATACTCCCGGCATCATTTGAAATTTGTGTCTGTGTGCCACAACCTGGTCTAGAAGACAGTTGGCAGATATCAAAATAACTCCCAGCCTCCGTCCAGGTATATTTCCAATTCAGTTTGGAGTTTTGCCCTTTTTGCATTAATTAACAGCTCGCTGAGTTGAGAAATTAGAGAATTATGCCTGGAATTTCCGTTCGCTGATGAGCCAAATATAAACAGCTATATTGGAGGTCTGATTAGCTGATTAGTCAAGAAAGAGTCTCGGATGATAATAAAGAACGGTTGAGGATCATGGGAAAGCAAGTGAACTTGATTTTTTATTATTAAATATATTATGTGGAATTTAATTATACATTTAACAAAAATATTTGCATACTGACCTAAAAATCAAAAACCTTAAACTTTAAGTTTTACGAACAATTTAAAGAATTTTCATTCCTCCAAGCTTTAAGTATCGACCTTATTAAAGTGCTGACTCTGAAAATGCTCTCGGTTTAATGCAAATACTCCATTTTGTGTTATTTTTAACTGAAATGTTTTTAAAGCCCAGTGACTCCGCCGAAGCTCTCTAACCTAATTAATGCATTTCAAGATATTCTTAAAGCCCCGCGTCCGATGGAATTGGGCATATTAAAGCAGCCGCCTGCCTATTAAAGTGCAATTAAAATTTTTTTAATTCTCCGTGTTGTTTTTTTTCTCTCTCGCATTTTAAAGTTCATTCAAGGTGTCAGCAGCTTGTCAAGGTGAGAGGCGGCTACTGTTTGCTCGGCCAGAGGAAAAAATATTAAATTTCAACTGGGGAAATCGCCGAGAGAACCCAGGAGGGAGAAACCAGAGAAGCGGAGAACTGATAAATGTGCAGACCGAAAATTAGTTGGGAGTTAACCAAACAGAAAATAAAAGAACAACTGACGAGCCACGCCCGTTTATCGCGTGAGGATTGGAAAACAGGAGGAGCCCGGAAAATGGGAGTGCGGGGGAAAACTCGGGCCTCTCTCCAGGCGCTCATTAAGAGTGGCGAGCGTTTTGCATTTCCCGCTGGGATTTTCGGTGGAGCACCCGCTGTGCCATATGACACCTGGCCAAATACATATATAATACGGATACCATATATGTATATTCCTGAGTGCGGGGCGGCTCAGGAGCTCGGGAGCTCGGCAGCTCAGGTGCAACCGGGATGTATCCCCCGTGTGGCATTTTGGCGTGTTGCATGCAATGCGGTGGCCACTTTAATGGCGTCGTTTTTAAAGCTTTATTCGGGCCCATACCAACTCTAGCCGCTGCCTTTATGAGTGTCACTTTTATAACCCTTGTTTTAATGACTAATTAAGCATGAAAGACAATAAAAAGAGAGTCTTAGGTAAGAACCCTAAAAAACAGAACGCGGCCACAAGTGGAGGCTGTCTAGAAAAACAAACTTTTATGTGAGATCTATAAAGTCCTAAGACTTCAAATACTTGCCGCTGGCGTCAGCGATGAAGTAAGAGAATCCCAGACGCCACTTGAGCAGATTGCATAATCCAA